GGGGTTTCGGCCCCCCCCCCCCCCCCCCCCCCCCCCCCCCTTCAGGTCTTCCATGAGCTCCAACCCCCAAAATTAGGATGGAGGGGAGAGAGATCAAAATCCCAGGGCTTCCCAAACCAAGGTTGGGCCCTCACTTTGCATGGAACAGGACCTTCCCTTCCACCAAATTACCCATCAGATGGCAATGCAGGGGGTCTGGATGCTACCTATGCAGGGCATGCCAAGAGGAACGGGAGTAGATTGGATTTAGGGCCTCAAGATGTTCCAGGCCATTGCAATGTGGGCCTCTCCATCTTCCTTACCAGGATGCTCCTTCAGATGTTTCTGACACTCTGTCCAAGTGGGCAGGACAATCTGGCAATCCTCCTTGGGGCATGGGTATCCTGGAAGGAGGACCAACAGGCTAAAAAGGGGGAATCTCTCTCAGAACAACACACACACACACACACACTGCAGTTGACGCCACTCCCATGCACAGCCTTAAAACTGGGAACCTCCTGCCAGGTAAAACTTGGACTCCACTCAGATTCTGAAAAATCTGAGTCCTCCCAGGGCACCATCATCCTACATCCAAGGGTTGACCATGGTAAAAATCTAGAGCTGTCAAAGAACCATGGACTTAAGGAAAAAAAAAAAAAAAGAGAAGCAGCCCAGTGTCACCAAGGGAGAGGTGGCGACAGCTGAGAGGGAGCTCCAGAGAACAGTCAGCCTGATGGACACCAGAGAATGCAAGGGTGAGATTAGACAGCCAGATCCCATTTTGCCTGCCAGCCCTGTAAAAGGAGGAGAAGCCATTCATGTCTTTCACCAGCATGTCTCTTCTGGTGAGCTTTCCTCCTGGCAGCACTGACAAACTTCATGCCACATCCTGGCTCTTGACACCTGAATGAGGCAGAGAAGGAGGAGTAGTTACACCATGCTTTCTTCAGGGCTGGGCAAGAGTTCCTAGGGATGCCACTTCACCCTGGAAAGCAGAGATATCCCAGGGTTTTCCAGAGAGACTAAGGCAGCAAGACATCTCACTTGGAATAGGCTAGTGAGCCAGTTTCCCCTCCCACTTAAAAAAAAGAAAGTCCAGAGAAGTAAAGCTGAAGGCACAGGCTTATCCAGCTCTGGGATCTGGCCCAGAGCTAGCAGTTGCCAAGCATCAGTGGTCTGTCATTTTGACGAGCTAGGGTGCCACATTTCAAGACATAAACATGAAGTCACCCCAAGGAGGACTTGGTCCCCTAGTCAGCCCCTTCCCTTCACCAGAGGACACTTACACAAATGGCAGCACTTTGGTATGTTCAGTCCAATGCATCTTGAGAGCTTTTTTTTTCCTGAAGACCCTCTCACAACCCTGGTGGCTACACTGGAGGGAAGAAAGTTAAGATAATTGACCTGATGCATTGAGAACAAGCCTGCCCATGCCCCTTTCACACCAGCTAGCACCAGGCATGCCAGAGTCTCCATGATACCATGCAGCACCAGCAGGCTCGCTGCAGCCCCAGGCGAGTATCCACAGGGACACAGCCTAGGAGTTTGGGGAGATCACCACTCAAGAAGGGACCAGCAGAGCTTGTTTACATGTCATTGGAAGCTGTGGTGTAAGAGGTTTGATCGTGCTGTGTGTGCCCACCAGGCTGAAGACAGATGGCACAGGCAAGAAGTAGTTCATTTGCTGGCCTGATCCAACTATCAAAAAGCAGCTAGGAGTTCCTATTAACAGGAGCTGTGTACCATGCTGGGGATTTCTGCTTGGCCCTGCCTCTTCACTATCCCCAGCACAGCACTGGCTCTTACCAGAGAGCCATCAGCACCAGAGGCTTGAGTTCTGGCTCCCTCCTGTGGCCAGAACAGCTTCCTCATTTCAAGCCCTGGGAAGGGCAATACCAGTCCTTCCCAGATGGAAGGGCCAGGCGAGAGGGTCCCAAGGGTCTCCCTTAGCCATACTACTTACTGCTGCCAAACTCTCCCTAGTCTGGATTCAGTAGAAAGTGGCAGCCTCTACCAGCCATGAGGCCTCCAGGTGGGACAGGGCCCCATGGTATTTAGGCCTGAGGGCATTTGGTCACAGGCGGGCTCATCTCAAACCTAGTGCTCTACCCAGCCTGCATTACCTGGAATGAATTCCTGTTGCCATGCTGTGACCTGCAGGGCTTTTGTAGCTGGTTAGCAGTCACCAAGACTGATTCACAACGCACATCCAAACACCTGTGGAAGAGAAAACCCTGCAGATCAGCAGGTCCCAGCTTAGGAGCTGCCCTCCCGTTTAGAAGGGAGACAGGCTCAGCATAACTTTCTTGCAGCCTGGGCTGGGGCATATCAAGGTACCGACTTCCAGTCCAGCTTAGGACCTTTCTGTACATCAGTTGCCATGCCTGACAGAGGGTAGCAAGTCATTATTCCTATCAAGGTGAAGACTGCCTCACTGGGAAAACAAGTCAGAGCTCTTGGTCTTAGCTGAGAGCTCAGCAGCCCCTCCTCCCACAAGAGGAGAAAGATGGGAGAGAAGCTCAGTACAGCTGCATGAGCCCTGCTGGGTACTACCCCCAGACTTATTAGACCCCACAACAGCCCAGGAGCTGGGGTCACAGTGGGGTGAACACGGAAAAGCCACTTCACTGCCCCACCTACCAGGCATCACCATGCTGCAGCTTGTGCTTTTGCAGAACATCTCCATGCTGAAATCGCTCTCCACAGCCAGCTTGGTCACACACCAGCTCCTGAAAAGGAGAAAAAAAAAAAAAAAAAAAAAAGTGTCAGCAAGGACCTCCAGCACCACTTTTTTCACACAGAGTCCCTGGACCCTATTTCCACCCCCCCATATAAATGGGCACTATATTAGCCAAGTTAACTGGAGGCAGAGATAGGTCCCAGGTCCAAGGCATATTGCAGGGGAGGGGTGGTACTGGGCTTTCAGTATTACTCAGCAGACTTCAGGTCACAGATTTGCAACTCAAGCAACGCAGCCCACATTAACTGATCTGCATCATCCCTGGGGATGCAGGGAGAGTCTAGTAAAGGAGGCAGGCAGCTCTGCTCCATGATGTTTATGCTCTGGGACTCATAAGCCCTCCTCAAGGCACACAGCCCATCCATCCCCACCAAGGCCCTTTCTCCCTCATGTAGCTCAGCTCCAGGTACACTCAAGCAACAGAGTTCCCAGGTGAGCAATCAGAAACTCTTAGAGAAAGAATGAGCAGAAAATTCATGGCACTCATACTTTCCTGGAAGGGAAGGCTCTCCTCAGAGCCACCCCCAGCTCTTACCTCCTCTTGGGGTACAGCCAGAGCTGGCTCCCACTCCTTGCAGGGACAAGAGGAAGCAGCAGCATTCCCAGGACTGCTTTCCCCAGGCTCTGCCATACAGCAGAGTACAGCCCTGTGCAATACACCCAAGACCAAACTTAACTCCCAGATATCTGTACACAACACACCACTACCCCTTCACCTTTACCCAGTGTGCTCCATTTATAGCAGAGATGGATGCAGCTGCTGTCTATCAGCTCAGTGATAGGCAGTGCCCTGGTCTTGGCTCAGGATTTTGCTATTAGCCTCATTATTGGGAAAGGACATCGGGGAGTTTGCAGAGAAGGGATTGGCTTCATCCTGGTATTTCCTTGGATAGGTGTGGGGAGGGTGGATTTAATCTGATGGGGCCAAGGTAGCTGAGCTCTGATCTCTCTCTGGTATGTGGAGCCAAGTCAGTGATTTGTCCCTCTGCCTCAGTACAATCTACCTTGTTACAGCCCCTGGCAGCTTGGTATCCAAGGCTCTGTTCTTCATGGTGTCTCATGCCCTTTGAGGTCCTGGACTGAAACTCCTGGGGGTACAATAGCCCCAAGCACAGTACCCCCCTCTTCCCTCTCCCCCTCCTGCTGATCTTCAGGCTCAGGGAGAGCTGCAGTCGTCCATCATTATCTGTGCTACTGCAAACCCATTGCAGGAATGGTCCCTGGGTGCAGTGTTGGCACTCTGCTGTAGCAAAGGAGGGGCTGTGACAGCTGCATTATAGGAGCTGAAGCACATTCAGCCAGGGCAGAGTTTTTCCAAAACACCATGTGACCCCAGTGGAAGGCAAATATTTCTCTGCTCCCTTTTCATGGAGGATCAAGCCCTTGCATCCACCTGGAGCATACTGCAAGATGAGGGCCTTCCTCTCTAATCAGGCCAGTGATTTTTCCTTTTAGAGGGTCCCTCTAAAGCAGGAAGAACCAAGTTCTCCAAAGTGATTGCTAAGAGACAAGGCCTAGTCAGTGTAGCATTAGACCTGAGCTCAGCTCAGGATCCAGACAGACTGAACTGAGCCCTCCAGATCCAAGGCAGGGCTGGGGTTTGGATCCTGAGCCATGGAAGTTCTGCAGCAGGGGCCCGTCGCGGGGGTGAAGACAGCATGGACCAGTAGGTGAGGGCACAAGGCAGGGATTGTGGACACCTGGGTCCTGTTCCTCAATTTGCCCCTGACCTGTGGCATGGCTTGGAGCAAGTCCCCGGGGCCTTGCTGTCTGCCCTCCTGACTGCTGGCACAGGGGCGGCTCCTAGCAGCAGCCCCTAACACAGCTTGGTGGGTCTCTAGGTGCTACTGCAATAACCATGATAAAGACCGAGGCTGGAAAATCTTTGCTATGGAGACAAGTGCTCTCTGGGGAGTCTCCCCTGTCCCTTTGTGATGTCATATGTGGGGTCGGGCTGAGGAGAAGAGGAGCAGTTGCCAACAACAGCTTAGTGGTGAGAGGAGGAGGGAGGCAGTGGTTTGGATCAGCGGTTGCTGCGAGTTAAGAGGTTAGGGCCTGAACATACAAGCTCGGGGGTAAAGCAACTAGCAAGTTGTTTTCCCCTTTGTGTGCAATTGGGTGGGTGGGTCTTGGCTCAGTTTCCAGCTGTCAGGTAACTGCATCTCAGAAGCAACCCCCATGCCACGGATTGTGTGAGTCCTGGATGCTGAGGCTGAGAGGCCTGTGAGTGGGGGCTGCAGAGTTTGTCCATCAGCTCCACTATCCTTTGATGCAGCAAGGTGAATACAGCCTATCTACCTTGGGGAAGGGAGATGAGGTTGTTTGTTCCAGCCCATGTTAAATCTCTTTGTCTTTAACTCTACAGAACTATATGACCTTTACGTGCACTAAACCTCACCACAGCTAGTGCCTGGTGGAGGAAGGCAGCTATGTTGGACATGGATCTGGTAAGGAGCTTGTGTGCAGGCATCAAAGCAGTTCAGCCCATGGCACTGCTGAGGCAGAGAGCAAGAGCAGCTGCGATTTTCTGCCCAAGTCAAACCCTGCTTCCTCCATTCCATGTCCTTCTGTGACACATGGGGAAACTAAGGAAGAAACCTGCCCAGACTGGGTCAGTGCTGGGCAGGGACAGAACCTTCATTGCAGCTTCTGCTTTCTGACCTCACCTCTCAGCTTCTCTGATGTCAGAGGGCAAAGTTCACAGCCTGATGGCATCAGTTTAGAAGCACCATGTCCAGGTATCAAAGCCACCTTCCTGGCTGCAGCTGCTGCTTCTGAACAAACTTTTCAAGCTCCCTTTAGCAGCCACTCACTCCCCTGATCCCTTCTCTATCTGTTCTGTCCTAGCACACAGAAATCCAGGGCTGAGTGCTCTATTCCAGATGAGGCCACCCCATTAGCCCATCTCATGGACCCATCCTGTTCTCTGGGCTGATTATTCACCCTGGGACACGTATGGGCCACAGAGCAACCAGTGTTAACCTGAGTGCCACAATGACACAGAAACCCCTCGTTAAACTGGAAGAAGCAAGGACCAGTGGAAAAGCGAATATTAGTTAGCACTTGTGCCACAACTGATAGAAAGCATGTGCTGTATTATTCATGAGCACAGAAAAGGCAGACCCATGGCAGACAGCAAACTGAAAATACCCAGTACTGTTTTGTGCCTGTCTACTTAGCTCATCATCTATCCACAGGTGATAAGATGGAAAGCCACAAGTGGCTCTGGAGCCACAGTCTGGGCACTGCTGTCCTGGCCCATTCCTCATGTCCTTCAGTGCTTTGCTTGCATTCCCCACCCCTGCTGTGCCCATAGCAGATGTGACGAGTGACATCTGAGTCACTTTCACAAATGGTTCCAGCTAATTTAGGACTGGGCAATGAGCATGAATAGTCCAAATGACTGCTTCCAATGCTCAGGGTCATGCAGAGAGCTGAGAACTGAAGCAAGATTGCCCAAGCACCCAGGCAAATGCGCACACACTTTCTGAAACAGTAGAATTTATTCTCCTTGCCATTTTCCCAGTGAGGTGTTTTCCTTGCATTCATCAAACCTGAATTTCATCCAATAACACACTATCTATTTGCTGAGCCTGCATGGGTCCCAGAACTCCTAGCTTCAAGCTCCCCTCCTCCCCGCCCACCCCCGGTGCTACACCCTAGAAGCCGAGATCCTCCTGCCTCCCTGAGTCTCCCGATCTGTAGATCTGCCTTGGTTTCTTCTCCCCCCTCAGACTGTGGAAGATATTGAAGACATGCAGCTGGATTCACAAGGGGAAGTGCAAACAGACAGGCCCGAACTGATTGGCAGCTATGACAAGGGCATGAGCATGATAGTGCTCACCTTAAATGGTGTAGAGGTGGAGCCCATCACCCCAGCAGGTCCAGGAGAACACCCACTGAATAAGGGCACAGACCAGATCATGGAAGTGATCTGTGGCTTCTTGGGAGCTGCCCCAGGGCACACAGCACAGATGTCAGTGGGGCTGATCCAAGTCATGAATGAAGACAGCTGCTGGGGTTCAGAAGGGACAGGCCATGAACCTAAGGCAAGAGGACCAGACTCATCATCTGTGACCACACCCAATAAATCACTGCTGTGTATGAAGGAAGAATTGCTGGCCAGCCTGGAGGAGACCTGGGAGCTGGGGAAGCAGAGGGGCTACAAAAACATCAAGTCTACAATGGGGGAAAAGACCCATTCCAGGGTTGGTGATGACACTGAGGGCAGCTGTGAGGGAGACCAGCAGGAGGTGACTGAGCAACAGGGCAGAGGATTATCACCTGGTAGAGACACTTTGCTTGATCATCAGGACAGAAATCTGCCCAGTGAACTGAGAGAGGAGAACTCCCTCTTGCTGCAGGATGGCAAGAAGGAGCGAGAGAGCACGGAGGTCAGCCTGGAGAAGCTGCTGGTCCCCATCCTTAGGAAGTCGGGCCTGTGCCAGGGGGCTGAGTCCCAGCACTGCTTGCCAGGAGTGGTCACCATCACCTGTCTGGCTGAGTCTCCCAGCTTAGATGCCTCTGACAGGTTGGAGTGCCGGCTCCCCCCCAGCTCTGTGTTCAAAGCCTGGGCAGAGTTAGGCCCTGGCTCCTGGCTGGGCCCTCCCCTGGTCTTTCCACACGGGGAGGATGGCAGGATTCACTGCATCAGGATATTCCCTAAGGGCTTTGGGCCAGAACTGGAAGAGGGGATCAGGCAGAAGCTCAGTAGCTGTACAGGCTGGGTGGCCAGTGCTGGGACTTTCTTGTGCAAGGCCAAGAAGCTGTTTTCTAGTTATCAGCTCCACTCAACTGAGGGTGCCCAGGCATCAGGAGCACAAGAGGTGAGGAGCCGGGCAAGGAGCTGTCTTTCTCATAGGGTCAGCACTATAGATGTTGGGTGACTCACAGAGCCCTAAAGGGACAATAGGGGAGGGTTCATTTCTTGGCCCTGCCAAAGATTCCTTGTGAGCCTTGGTCAAGTCACTTCAACTCTCCATGGCTCAGTTCCCCACCTGTAAAATGATCCTCCCTTTCTTCCACCCTTGGTCTTGTCTGTTTAGATGATGGGCTCTTGAGGTAAGGATTCTTACTCTATTTATGTATAGTGCCTGGTGCAAGAGTGTCCCCAGTGTGTATGTTTGCAGGTGGAGGTGTCCTTTGTACATCAAGTTCCCTGCCTATAGAATGGGGATGATCATTCTTTCTCTGTCTCATCTTTATGCTGCAAGTTTTTTAGGACAGAGCCTGGCTGTGTCTGTCCAGTCCCTGATGCAATGGGACAACCCCCCCTCAATCATTTAGGCCCTCCAGGCACAGACATACAAACAATAACAACAAAAGAGGCTGTGATAGGAACAGTATTTGTGGAATATCATCCATCTGGTATGCTCTAAGCATCTTGCAAATGCTGACGGGCTTTAGCTGGGTCTGGGGTCTGAATGAGGGACAGGGGAAGAGAGATGAGGCACAGGGGCAACTGCACCTTATGCAGCAAGTCAGTGGTAAGACCAAGAGCAGAACCCACGGGTCCCCACTGCAAGTCAAGTCATATCCAAAGAGGGTTGAGTGAATTCAGAAACAGGTGTGGAGGAAGCATCCACAGGGGAACAGCTGGTCTGGAGGGGCTATACTGTCCATTTCCCTGTCTAGAAAAGCCTAAAGGAACATCAGTGTCATAGTTTTAAGTGTATAAAAGGCATATTCTGCTCACCTTGTGTTGCAGAGGCCAGTACATTTG